CAAAACTTCGGTATAAACTTTTATTAATAAATTTGAATTTAATCGGCTGTAATTCGGCAGCCGAATAACCCAATTTGAACTAGTGTAACTTATTACTCTTATGCACAATTGATCATTATCATTATCTATTGCTACCTAGAAAGCATGTGTATGGTTAACTATTTTGTTTTTTCTTTCTTTTTTCTATAAGAATTTTTAGAATTTACACATATCAGCTTAAAGTTAAGATTAGAATCAAATTTGATACTTGATGTACTTCTGGATATTCTATATATGGGGTTGATTCTTTCTGAAAACGACAAAAATGTTATATACAATTTTTTGATCTCTATTTTTTGAACAATACATATACAACATAAATTCTAGGAATACAATTATAAAGTCAAAAATTCCTGTCCACCTTCAAAAAAAATTACCCATATCAATAAAGAATAACATTTAATGCCTATTAAAAATAATTTTCTTGATAAATTTTGTTTAGGAGTTACAATTCTAGGGCCTTGACCGTTTCCGAAGATATTACTCATTGACATCTAATGATAGATTAATTTGACAGCTGAATATATTGAATTGCACATACCGAATAATTAACCTCTATGAATTCCAAAATTATTGTTTACTTCACAAATTAAATTTGTTGAGTTACATCGCAGTTATCTTAATATTAAAGAGTTCTCGTATTGGAATGTTTTGAAAAGATATTCTATTTCCTTAGCTATTTATAATACATGATTGACATGTAAAACTTGGAAGAAAAATAAATTCTTGATCTTAAGTCAAATTAAGAGTCCATAATGAATTATACCGATATGTATTTGTTCAGATGGTATAAACAAATCGACTGACAAAAATAAATATGAAGTCAACTAAATAAAGGACTAATATTACAAAATAAAGAAATGATAATAATAATAAAACAGATCAAATAGGATCAACTTGGTTGTAAACGATACAAATAGTCTTTGTCTTGCAAACAAACTATCACAATAAAAATCCGCCATTCGACCCCTGAGTTGGTTGACCAAACATATTTAATGTTTGAGATTGAGCATATTGATTTTCCCTTCCAAGATCATTAAGAGATTTCGGCTTATTGATATTACTTATAGTGTTAGTACTGGGCACTGTTTGGAATGGATTCTTACTCAGTTGACTAGAAAAACCTCCTCCGTCAAGGTCAATAAGACTATTGCTAGTAGTGGTATAAGACGTCGTTGAAAATGAAGATGTAGACTGCGTCATGAGAATATAGAGGTTAATTAACAAAAATGTTTACCGATGGAAAAAATAAATAAAATGATCTTACCGGAACAACACTCGAACTGAATGTATTACTAGTAGAGAATAGATCATTAGTAGATCTAGCTGTTTGAGTTCCAAATGTGCTAGGAAGTGTATTGTACGTTCCAATATTGCCAGTAGAAAGGAAGGGATTTACTTGATTTGCCGAGTCTGATAGATTACCAACCGAATTGGATCTTCTCGGAGGCTGAACAGTTAAACTGCCACTGTTTGCAAACCCAGAACCACTGATCACGAAGAATTTTTATTAATACTCAATAAAAAATGATCGAAAATGATATTAAAAAAATCAATCAAACTTACGTTGGAACGCGAAGATCACCTACGTTACCAAAAGTGTCCATACCGTTACTATTTAAAAATTGTGTATACATCAATATCTGAACTGAAATTTATACCCGTATAAACAAATAGCTTACCCTCTATTACCAATCAGAGAGGCTAATTCTGGGTGCTTCTCGTCTTGCGGTTTGACAGGCTAAATTATTATAAGAATATAATAATTAAAATGGTATAAAAAACTCAACTTGAATGAATTTATGTTCAAAAATAAAATAAAAATAAATAAAATAAGATGTAAACAATATATATATAAAGTAAATTTACCTGTTTGTTACTAGGGTTAAATACAGAATCTATCGTTGGCACAGTAGATAAATTCGGTGAACTCAAATTACTTGTTGCTAAACTTCCAAAGGGCGAAGCACTATTTGAGTATGATAAGTTCGATGGCTGTGATTGTTGAGTGAATGAGCCAAAGGGATTTTTTGAACCAACTGTATTAGCAGGTTGTTGGGTGTAAGGATTGTTCAGTTGTTGCTGTTGTAGTTGTAGTTGTTGTTGTTGTAATTGTTGTTGTTGTAGAAGTTGTTGTTTCTGTAGAAGCTGTTGCTGTTGCTGTTGCTGTAAGAGCTGTTGTTGTTGTTGTTGTTGCAGCAGTTGTTGCTGTTGTTGTTGCAATAATTGGTACTGATTTAAGTATTGCGACTGATTATTGAAATTGCTCTGTTGTTGATCAATTAAGTTAATAGTATTAGGAGTCCCAATATATGGAACACCATACTGAGGGTTTGCCGAGCTTATTGGATTTCCAAATAAATCGGTTTGTTGAGAAAATTGATTACTAGGAGGTCTATAAATATATAAAAAAAAATTAAAAATGATCCTAAAATTTATCTTATTAAATTTTTTTGCAACTAACCCAGTATCAAATAATAACATTTCGTTATTTTTCGATAGCTCAGCTTGTCTTCTTTCGTCTTCCTCCTTGCTCAATTTTATTGCCTTTGCCAATTCTTCTTCCTCTTCACTAAAATGAAATTATCATATATCCAAATTACTTAACGTTATCAATATATAAGCACATTACAAAAAATTGTCATACTTATTCTTCTTGTCCGCTTCATTTTTTAAAGTCCTTAAACTTTCTTCCATTGCTCTCTTCATGTCCGCATCTTCTTCCTCTGGGAAAATAGAATTATCATACGTAGGTGTACTGGATAAGCTTCGATCTATAGTCCCAGGATATGTATCGGATCGTCCCATCATTCGATTTCTCATATCATTTCGTTGACGCCTCTCGTTATTTAAACGATCATCATCCAGGAGTAGATTGGTAATTTCTTTTGCCTTCTGTCGAACTTTTTTTATAACCGTAAATAAACCATTTTAAAATCTAACCAATAAAAATATAAACCAGAATACAAAAAATAATAGCCATATTTACCGTTAGCCCCTTGGTCTTTTCCATCATCATCTATGTATTGAAACTCTCGTAAAGTTTTTACTACATATATATTTTTCTTTGCATACGTTACAACATCTTGAGAACCCATGTGAAGGCAATAATCCAAAAGTGTAAGAGCCTAATAGAAAAAAATATCCTTAGTAAATCAGTTATATTTATGACTCCATATAATGCAACGAAATTCTTCCAGCTTACTTTAAATACGTGTCTCCAATTTTTGCCATGGTCATTTAATCTTTTATCAATTATCTCCATGATTTCTAAGAAAGCATCGCTGAATACGAAGTCAGAGTCGAAATTGTAACGTACATTAAATAAGACTTTGAAGTTCTACTCACTGGGAATTAGTGGCCTGTGCAATTTCATTCATCACCGTACCACTAGGGCCCCATGGATCATTCGAAGTAGCCGATCGTACTTTCGCTTGGATGTCTGAATAACCTTTTGTGTAATTTTTTCTAAATTTTAGGATTATTGGAAAACAAAAGATGTTTATTAGCAAAATCGCCTAAATCTAATAAATTTGGACGATATACATTAAGTTTGAAACTTACATTTGACGAATAGTACCCTTCGCTATGTGAGACATGATCACAAGTTTGATTCTTAGATCTCGAAGTTTACGAAATTTTTTTGTTTGAGTATTGATGTTTAATCCTGCAATGAGAAAGATTTATGGCGTGTACTATATATTTGTAGTACGTCATTCATGTGTAATTGTAGCACAGACAAATTTCATGTACTTACGATACATACGTACGCATGATAAAAATAATTATCCACAAATAATAATATAGAATTTCTTATATACTGTATAATAAATAATATATTTGGTATTCTGATTAATAAATAAAATTCTTTTTTTTTTTTTTTTTGCCTCTAATCAGACTGCAAAAATTGTGTTTATTCATCCAATTTTGAAAAACAGTAGTACAATATACATGATACTATACTAAAGCTAAACTATCTTATAATTACAAAACACCTATTAATAAATTTAGATTTATATGTGATCCTTGAATCCTTAATATCAAGACCACCATGTTACCCACATGATTTAGCTATTTACTAACTATTTCACTACAAGGGAATAAATTTATTAAGCTATTATTGCATGGTATTAACTATCTTAGACTTTCTAAATCTAAACTCTCTAAATATGATTATTGGGAATGAAGAAGTTGCTCCCTTTCAAAACTAGATGTCAAAGATTATACCTTAAAAGATCTCAGCCAGCCTACATTCAGACTGTTACTCCAAATGACCTTATGGTTCTAAAAGATAAAAAAATTTTTATTTTTTAAGAAAAAAAAAAGAGAATAAAAAGAGGTAATTGAAAAATTTGTTCTGGTAAATAAAAACACTCCAATATTAACTTTGGTCTATTGGAATAAATTCTTTATCACCACCTGTAACTGGGCAAACTATTTAATTTCCACTATTTCATTGCTGACCAAGAACGTTCAAGGTACTTATAACAAGTCTTATATCTATAAGAAATTATTGCTTGAAACAAGACTTATATCTTAGGAAATTATTGCTTGATGCCTTCTCAGGATAATCAACAATGAAGGAAGCTTGTTACTGGATTGGGATGAGGCTTCTTTTGATTTTGAAGAGAAAAGAAACCAGTTCAAGAGAAGAGGAAAAGCACCATAGTGCATCTTGACAAAAAAAACACCTCGTTATTTTGTTCTTTTTACTATAATCTATTGCATCATCAGATTTTATGTTGTATAAAATGGGCATGTGGGAGTTACGTGTCTTGTTTACATTTCTTGCTACATGTAAATCAACCAGTTCAAAATTCGAGCCAATCACCATTCGTGTAACCAAAAATTCAGGGTTAAGCTGAGGTAGGCAAAATTCCTCAGAAAAATCAAAAAAAAGTTTACACACTTGAAAAGATAGAAGAGAGGCTTGAGGAAGATAAGAGAAGAGTTTCAGAAACCTATGCCAGTCTTTTCTAGAGTCTTGAATCTCTGGAGGAAGAGAGAAGAGTACTTTTTCTACAGGTTCTTTTTCCTAACAAAGTTTTTTTGCCTTTAACTTTGTAAGTATAAGTTTCTTATATTTACTCGCAGAAATACAAAAAGTTTATATTAAAGAGAAAAAGAAACAAGTAGGGGAGGCTATGCTTCTTAATATGTGTGTTGTTAATGAAAGTGTATAGACTTTATTACAAAGAAATATAAAAATTTCCTTGGAACATCTGTTTTTGCGTTGGTAAGAGGATCAGCGGAAAGAGTTTTACACTTTTTTTAAATAATTGCTTAATTATATACAGTATGTCTCATATTTATTTGTAAAAAAATTGTCAGCGATCTGTACATATACAACTAACCAAAGTTA